CACACACACACACATGGACACACGTCGGTTTGTCACACAGAGTCCGTATTCCCATTCCAGAAACTGCGATGTGGCCGAGAATCGGGGGCACTGATTGAACGACAGATAGAGTAGGAGTAGGACCAGGCTGCACATGCTGAAGGTGGAACGGAGTAGAAGGCCGATCCTCCTATTTCCAGCAAGCTCAGGTCCTCGTGATTTCTCACAGACGCCCTGCGGTGCAGGAGGATCTTGTCCGAGATCATTTCATGGCACTTTTGGCTGTGATTTTCGAGATGAGCATGTACGTCCTCTACCTCCGTTCCAGCCCCGCTCGCTTTGCAGCTTTGCTCATCGACCCGAAAGGTGATCTTCAAACGGCTAAATTGCAAGATGAGCTCATGAAAGACATGAAAAAGGAGTGGGAGACAATCGTACGGATGGAGAACACGGAGAGCTCCAACCAGCTGCTTCAGCAGAGGTGCTCTTTCACGCGATGGGTGTGCTACCGGGAGCCGATGACATGCTTGGAGCTGGAGAGATGGTCCATGACGGACAAGGCCAAGGCTCTCCTGTTGAGTTGGCACCCCGGCCTGGCTTTCAGTGCCAATGTGGAGCAGGTTTTTGCTGCAGTGGAAGATAGCAGCAGACGTGCGGTCAAGAATGTCAAGGCGAGCATGGCCAACTTGCAATGCCTTTCCATACGTGCTGTGGAGCAAAAGGTGACTGCGAGTGACACGCAAGAGGAGGCAGGCAACACGGACCGGGCTCGGGCCATCAAGCTGGGTGTGGAGGACTTCGAGGGCAACGAGGTCCGTGCCCTGAAGGCCTCGGTTTGGAAACCGACCTCATGCACTGGAAGACGCTTGGGTTGATGATTGATCAAACGAACCAAGAAAGGACTTGAATGAATCGATGAATGGTGGAAGGAGTGGACGAATGATTTGCGGTCTGAAGATGATAGTGGTTGTAATGCTGTAATATTCACACTATTCACTATTCATTTCACTTCTGCATGTATCATTGTGTCATACATACATGGCATTGCTACGAACGGGCGGGGCTTCATCCTACTGGAATTAAGGCTATCGTAACCTAGGCGACCACTTCAGCCTGGACAACATCCTGAAAGGGTACCAGTCTACATCCTCCTATCACCACAACAAAGTGGAGCTGAATTGGCTCAAGGGCCTGATTCTTTCGGCAAAGATTCTCGGCTGCCTGAAGTTGTATGGCTTCCGAGAAGTCGCCAAAGAGAGTGGGGTCAAACGCACATGCCTCTGAGGTCGGGCCTGGATCCTGAGGAGTCAAGCTCAAGGTTTTGGGTTCCGAGCTTGTGCCAGCCCGGCATGCTGCTACGAGTTGCTGACAAGTTCTACGTGGTCTTGGGGTCAACACCGGCAGTCTTGTATGCTGCTAGACTCGCATACCGTTTCGCATGTTTAACCAGCCTCTTGTTTCTCATCACGTAAAAGATTTTTCCGAGGCACTCCAGATGGATGAGATTGGCCTGATGTTCAAGGGCCGCCTTCCGGTCTATGAGGTGGACGAAACAAGGGTGAAGCAAGGCGACAGCAGAGCTGGAATGCAGGACTGTCTTGCAGAGCAAGAGCAGGTGAAGGCTCTTGCTTTCCGGCTTGAAAAGTACCTTTGCAGAGTGATGGCACCTGTGTCTGGAAAATTTTTACACCGGTCAGTATACCCAAACAAGGACACCTTCCTATTGTTTATGCTGTTGCACCAACGTTGTTCACCATTAAGGCCGATGGTCAAGGAGCTGCTGCTGCAGACGCCAGATGCCTCATGACCGAGCCATAGTCTGCCTGGTTAAGGGTTGCTAAGACCTTTGCCCCTACGTTTTCCCTATGTTGCCAGACATCGCTGATGAGGTTGAAGTTTTCAGTTACACGATCCATTTCGTCGGCCCTCGCCTCTGCGACAAACTTGGATGTGCTGCTGTGCTTCGGAGATGCGAAGCCGGGCAGAAGCTGCTTGTTTGGATGATCCGCAGCAAGGACATCGTCAAGGTGACTTCGGAGAGTTTGTCTCAATGGGCTGCCCAATACAGTCTTCAAATTCGGCGAAACAGCACCAAGAGTGCAAAGATCCGTGCCCTCTGCCAGCTCCCAGATGTCACCGCAGCATGCACACCGGCCGAGCTCAAGGCTTTGGATGATTTGTTGAATGAGATAGATGAAAAGCGCAGGAAGCGCACAAAGGCCAGCGAGGCCGAAAATCAGGAGGAGGACGAGGCTCGGAAGTGAAACANNAGGAGGATGAGACAATGGCAGCCGCCAGACAGCTGCTGGAGCAAGTGCAGAGGCAGGAAGACGAGGACCCCGGTCTATGTAGTCATGCTTCCTGCAGCCCATCATTTCCTGTTCATTAGATCAACGCAGGGAGTATTGAGACGATGATTGGGTCATTGACGTATGTTTTCACGCATTTTTGTGATCCCGTAAACAACACCAAGCAGGAGGATGATGCCGATGCCGAAGGCATGAAGCCTGATGAAGCAGCTGCTGCTGCAGCTGCTGTTCCGGTTCCGGCAGAAGAGCCTGCAGCAGAAGCTCCCGAGGCAGACGAGAGAAAGCGAGCTTCGCGGCGGTTGCTGAGCTCTTGCCAAGCCGTGCCCGGTTTCTTGACGGAGAAGTTCAAGATGAGAGATGATGTGGTCGTCTCGCATGTGGAGCACCGGTCGAATGTCCTGCCCCACTTCCAGGTTCGGCTTCCAGGTGACGAGAAGTACGAAGGAAAGCCACGTGGTTGCAGAAATAGCAGTTGTGGATTGATTACANNCAGCTTCTGTAACATGTCAGGGTGAATGTACAACAACAATTACAAATGAGGCACAGCTGCAGTGCAAGCTACAACCCCGCCATCGACAAAGAGCAGCTGGATGAGGCTATCGACAAGGTCAGTTTGCTGCCGGCCAAAAAACGGTCGATGATGCAAGCATTTTACATATGCTACAAGTTTCAAGCCGAGTCCGAAAAAAACAAACGGCGGCGGCTGCACTGACGAGCTGGCGAGGTGAGTGAAAACAGCAGTCGGTCTTGCTGGCATCATGGATTCTCATATTTCATCATATCATTCATCTGATCAGATTCCCAAAGACCCTTTATCGACCAAGCTCATAATGAGCCGTTCATCAAGAACGATTAAATGCAGTAGCACCGGATTTCATTAAGAATGCGAAGGGCCGGCTCTGATTTAGGGGTTTAGGAGTTTAGGGTTCGGCGTGTAGGGTTCTGACGTGCGGTGGCCTGCACTTACTCGCCCTGTCTCTAGAACCAACATAGCCCGATAAA